TGGAGACTGTGCTGATATTCGCGAGGGAGGTGATTGTCTGGACTACTCTTGCACCTGGAGAATTTGAAAAAAGGGAATTTTAATGATGAATATTTTTTTTTCTAATTGTGGAGGGATTTTATTTGCATTGTTCGATTTTAATTGATTTTTATGACACTCGTGACACTTAAGCTGTTTTTTTTGTTTCCGAATAGAAGCCTTATATTTCATTTTGATGATCGAAAATGTTGAAAAGTTGTGGAGAGATTTTAATCTCATTGTTTATTTTTCAATTGACTTTGGGGAAATTTCAAAACAAGAAAAGTAAATTTTAATTATGAATATTGTTTTTTTCCAAATTGTCGAGGGATTTTATTTGCATTCTTTAATTTTAACTAATTTTTGTGACACTCGTGAACCTTAAATGTTTTTTTTGCTTTCGAATGGAATAATTATATTTTATCATGATGTTCGAGAATTTTAAGGAGTTGTGCAGAAATGTTATTCTTATAGCTTTATTTATTTACATTGACTTTCGTGACACTAATAATAGACATTAAAAGCTCCATCACACTCTCTTAAATTGTAGTTTTGAACGTGAAATCAATTTGAAATTGTAACAAAGAGAAATTAATAGAGTAACTTTAGACAATCCATTTATTATTATCAATTTCCCAGATAGATTATTACTTTTATGGAGATTGGAAATTAGTCCATTGAATTATCTCTAAAATTATTATCTAGATTTGAAAGGGTTTCCAAATTTGAACAATTGCTTTTTTCGTAGACTGTATGTTATTTTGGAATTTGTACATCAATTATTATGTACAAAATTATCAGTTATATCTATCATTTTGATTATATTGACGTCTCGATTTTTCACAATTCCGAGACAGAAATAACGAAATAAAACTTTCTAATTTACTTTTTTCAATTGATGATATAAAAAAAATTCAATGGAATCGTGAATTTGAATAAAAAAATTAATTTCCCCTTTTTTCTCACCTTTCTGATGCCCTGGAGTTCTGGGTGTCACTTGTTGTGACGGAATAACAACTATTGAAAAATTGGCAGTTCCTCCAGGACTCGGATTCCAAGAGAGTTATCGGGGCTCCTCCTGATATTGTCGCTGTCACTACTGTCTCATGGACTTGACGAATTTGGGACTGGGGGGACTAGCTGGGGCTGTTGGGAGGTGTAAAGTACATGGGCCCAGTTACCACTCGGGTCACGGTGGGGACCGGGTGGCGGTGTGGGGCAGTGTAGACTACTGAAGTCTTTGGGGGCCATTGAGTCGCTGTCACAATTGTCGCGGCTATGAAAATAAAAAAGAAATCGTCCATTTCAGTCATGTATCCATTGATTTCAATCATATTATTCTATAGGGATTCATATTTTTATATTTTATATATTGTGTTTAATATTTTGTACAATATATGTATTTTATATTAATTTACTCCATTTTTGTTCAACTTTATTTTATGTTAGATTACATTATTTTTATTATTCGTTTTTCCGACTGTAGTTATTCTACATTAATTTATTGGTTTTCGAAGGAAAATCGTTAATTTTTTCATCCATTTATTCATAATACTTGCACACATCACAAAATAAAAATAAAAATTCAATTCAAGTAATTACGAAAATTCTGAAAAATGGAGGAAATTAAGAATTCTTGAAGAATAGCTTTTCTGAAATTTATTCTTTTGAATATTTCTCGTTAACATGGGTTCATTCCATTGCTTTCTATAATTGTAAAAAAAAAATTACAAATATCGATGAAAAGCGTTAAACATTGCAATTGAGTGAATGATACTTGTTACGATCACTTTCTCCAATTGTAAATTAGCCATACCAGCAACAAGAAGAGAAAGTCTAAATCTCATGAGAGAAAACAGAAATACAGATGAATGATTTATGATGTTCATCAAGCAAATGGTCAATTCCCAATGTGTTTTTGCAATGAAAAATGATTTAGCAAATATCACTCACCAATCCACTTTTTGTCCAACCCCGCATTATTCATCTTTAAGCGGAGAGTCATCTTTTGCATTCGTATCCTTCCCATCGCTTCCTGACTTTGACCCTCCGAGATTACAGGGGTTCGCTCTAAAATGATAGTTAGGGTGGAAGTCAGGGGGATGACCCTGTGGCATCCCTAGGAGGTTCTGCCCAGGTAGATTTCATCTGCGCCTGCCGCTGGTTCAAAATATTCGTCTTCGTGGCGTGACCAGCGGTCAATAACTGGGCATTTGCGTTTGAAAATGCGAAGGGATGGTACATCAGGGGGTGAGAACACGGAGAGAATGGGGGTAAGACCTCAGTGATGGGACATATTGAAAGGATTGGAGGAATGAGGAAGAGGGGAAACACAGTAGGGCGTAGGGAACTGAGTTTTGATAGTGAGGAAATTGTTGAATTTGTCAAGAATGAGACTATTATTTTATGTTCGAGCAAAATTTATTGTCGAAGCTTTTATATGAAATATGTAATGAACAATTTTTTTCTTATCGACTCTTATTAGGTAATTAGTTAGTTACTTGAGAGTACAAGAAAATCTACTGTGGGTACAGAGGATCATCGTTACGTACGTTTATGCGACTGTACGTACAAGCGTCATTGCAGTGCGTACAACGTATAAACTCCGCCCCTCTTTCCTCCTCCCACCTTACGCCGCATGGGACACAAATTACTAGGTGGTTGCAAGGCCTGGAGACCAATTCCACCGGACGAGTTAGGCACAGGTGGCAATTCCACTCCAAGTCTTCATCTCCTCTTGCAATGAAGATCCTTTCTAGTTTCTGCAATCGAATCCGGTCGAATTTGTTTCCGGTCGAATTTGGGACCGGCTTATGCTTTTAGAATGACCAGAAAGTCAATTTTCCAATTAATTGGATAGGCCGCGGAAAAATAACAAATATACTTAACTAAACATCTATCCTAGACCGAAAAAAACACACTTCGAACAATTCGCAACATTCGAATTATTCAATCATTTGAATAATTCAAAACATTCGAATATTCAATTTGAATTTCGAATTGAATATCATACAATTCAATTCAATTCAATTCATCCACTATTCACACACCTCTACTTAAAACCCATTGATTAGAGTTTCAATTTTACTTGTTATTTTCCAATGAAAACTCCTGCAGTGAATCATATAGAAAATACTATAAGAAATGCTATCTGATTTTTTCATATGTGATTGCAATCGGTCAATTTTTCTATTTTTAAACTTTGCTCGAAATTTCTGTAGAATGGTGTGGAGGGTAAAATAAAAGTTGTTAACCATATATTAACAGTCGAATCACTTCTATCGGAAATGCTCGAACTCCGGTTTGATTTTCCGCTTTTTTATAGCATCCGAACTATCTGAATTATTCTGTAATTAGTTATCTGTCCCTGGTAAGGCAAACCCAGAGTTGATTTTGATTCAACTTAAAACTTGATCTCTCATGAGTATATTAAATCCATACATGGAAACAATGTCATCAATTGTTCTAGGATTTACCCATTGCGTGGGCTTTTATGGAAAAAAAATGAACTATCCTACATTAAAGTGCTTGAACATTTCAACACCGTGCTGGCACCACACATCCGACCGACGACAATCCACCTAGATTTCGAGCGTGCCTTGCGAACGGCTGTTGAGAGAGTTTATCCAAATGCAAGGATAGTTTATTGCTATTTCCATTTCTTACAGGTAAGATTAACAATGAACTACATTTTCTGCTTGGAACAGTGGAATCTCTTCATTTAAAATGGCTTGACACATATAAAAATTTTTAATGGAAAACCGTAAAGAAGTCGATAGGAATTTCTATAGAACTTCTATTGAATTTTATATACGTTTTTTGCCGTTTCTATTGACATGTTCGATAGGAAATATTATATAGAAAAAGTCAATAGAATTTCAGTTTTTCTATAAAAAATTTTCGGCTCAAATTTTCTATGTTTTTTCAGTATAGTTTTTTATTATCTTCTCTTCAAAAAATCGAATCTTTTCAATGTGATGGAGGCAGCAATAAACAATAAGAAATCCCCATGAAAGCTATACAAATTGGAAAATTTCAAGAGAATATTGTACAGGAAAAAAAACGCGAAAAATCTTCTCATCACATATTTTATATTATAGGCTTTGAGGAAGAGGCTGGAGAGAGAGAAGACTAAAGCTGAGATGACACGATTAAAGAGTTGGGAACAAGGAAAAAACTTTTACAGGAAGTTAATGGCTTTGCCCTTGCTCCCAGCTGAGGATATCATCACAGGCTTCACCACGGTGAAGGATAATGCTTCACCCGACTTAAGGCTTTTCTTCTCGGATCTCCTTGGGTACATTGAACGATGGTGGCTAAGAGTAGTGACCCCGGAAAATTTTGCAGTTCATCTCTTACGCACTCGAGTTTCCAATTGTATCGAGGCATACCACCGAGTACTTCTCAAAAGAATTGGTTCGCACCCATCTATATGGCAGTTCACAGGTTTATTATTTTTTATTATTGGAAAAAGTTATAAAAGTATGATAAATTTTTTTTTTATTTCATATGTGAACATATTTTTATATTTCAAACAAGCAACTCTGAAATTACGTTAAAAATCCAAAGTAAATAAGACAAACAATTTTTTAAATCAATAGCAAAGTAATAAAAGTGGTTGAGTAGATGTTGACTTTTGAGGGGGATCGATGAAATATTATCATTATCATTTATCATTTTCTTTTTTGGAGGGCGAAATTAGAGCTACAAAAAAAGTTATGACGACACTTTTGGTTACAAACGCGCAAACTTTTTTAAATTTCAAAAATTTTGAATGTTTAATTTTCCTAAAAAAATTCATAACATATGAAAGTTTAATTGAAATGTGTTTCAAATTGAACAGTCATAACATATGAAAGTTTCATTCATTCATGGAGTGTTCATTCACTCCGCTACAATGAAGATGTCTTGGATTGGTTTACCCTTTGGCTACGTATTTGTTTTGAAAATCTCTGGTTATAGAATCCATTGCCCAATGAGTTCCGCGTTGATCTATTTTGGTAAAATCTATTTTTGTGGCACTAATAATGAATTGAATTTGCAGAGTCTCTCAGAAATCTACAAGTTGTAACATGTACCGAGGCGATCGCAGTTATTAGTGGCAGATCTGTGAGACGTCCCAAAGCAACAAAGTACATCAAACAAGAAGCAATACTGAATAGGGCCTGGCAATTATATGAAGAGGGGGCCTTGGATGTTACAGCGTTTCTTGGTTGTGCGAACCATTTCCTCCGTGCATTTAATAACGACGTATTAATCGATAATGTGGAGGCGGTCGACTACTTCACAACAATACAGGAGCATGTCGTTGGTTGGTATTCTAATACTATAGTAAAAGAGATGTCCAACGTCAAGGGTGACGACTCTTAATCCTGATCCGCTTGAAATCCAATTCAATTGATGATAGTACATTATATGCAATGTGGTATCCGAATACAGCCACTGAATTTTTATCACATTTATACTGGATTTATGAAATTTCGATTTTATGGTGTTTAAAACCTATTAAAAGTGTTTAATATCAATTAAACATTGTTAATAAGTTTTGAAAACAACGATTCAGCAAAATTATATAAATAACTGCCAATGAAAAGTCAATGTATTTAACTTAGTCTTATACCTACTCATATCCACTGATAAGTTTCTCCTTCTTCATTTTTTAATTTGAGATGTGATTTTCTTGAAGGCATCCCACCCATAGCAGCTGAAATCGAAGCCGTAAGAGTCGACCAACCGATTGGAGAAATCCCTTTTGCTACTGTTCCACCTGCTAATGACGGTTTGGAAATCCTATTGTGTAAGGGAAAGGGAAAAAATTCCCTCATTTCACTATCTTTATGAAAATTTCAACTTTTCCATGAATGTTTCACGTCATACAATTGTGCAACATCAATTGTCTTTGATCGAGAATTATGGAGATTGAGTCATTCACCATATTTTTCGAATTGTCATCCAATTTCGATTTGTTTACCATAAATTTCTGCAGAGAACATGCTTTTTTTTTAATTAACCATCAAATTCTCCTTTTAATTTTCGCTATATATCTTTCAAAAAAATTGTATGGGATAAATGAGATTGTTATAATGATTTTTAATGATAATCAATTGAAAGTTGACCGTTTGAACTTAATACTAACAATTCAAGCTTTATAACAATTAGTGACTAGATGCTCACAATTTCTGCATAGATCAGAAAAATTATATTCACTATCCAGGTATTAATTCCTTCAAAACTTCTAATTTTCTTTTACGATCGCAGTGCGAAGATTAGATCAGTGCATCTGTGATTTATGCAATAATTCCATCGTGGAATATGTTGCATCACCATGCAGGCACTGGTTTGGATGTAAAAACTGTACGCTGCTCTACGTCCATACAGCTTTAGAGATGAATGCTTTCTTGAAGTGTCTTTGGTGTCGCCAAGAGTATCGTGGATTTCAACGTATCCTTGTAAGTATACCGTAGCCTTCATTCAATTACAAAATTTTAATTTATTTCATTTCACTGGAACATCAATGTTGCAGGTCACCTAAACATCTCTGCGGGAAATTCAACGGTTCAGAGGCATCTTCGGCTGAATATGAATTTTTTGGAGATTTTAGGACAGTCTCATTGAAAGAAGAGTGATTCGTAATAGTTTTCAAATATTAGTTATACCTAGTAGTTATACCTGGACTCCAGTATTCCGAGCAGTTGTTCACCGTGATGAGTGTTTGATTAGTGTCTGTATGTGACCATGCAATGAGATCTGCATAATAATTAAGTTTGCAGTTTCAATATTATAATTCTATCCCAAAACGACGCAAAAGTAATTGATTTCTGCTGAAAGGAAAAAAAAACAAACTCACCGATTCACAGAAAACTGTTTTTATTCCACGAGTAGAAACTAATGAGATCTCTTCAGAGATTATTTTCATATTTTTTCATTTTTTCCAATGTAATCACTTAGTATCTTCAATAAACTATGATATGAATTTAACAGTGTTCATTCTGGTAATTTGCGAAACTGAATAAAATTGAAATTGTTTTGTCCAGAACCTTGTCGAATTTATTTTCTAGTTCGAGGAATATTTACCGCAATGCAAACTCCCCCCTCCCCACGTTCAATTGATCGTATCGTTGTAATCAACATCTTTATAAGAACCTTGACATGAAAATTATCATGCACTAGTGGTTAGACGAGTGAATTTAATGGCCATTACAAAATGTAAGTGATCCACTTATTTAAGAATGTGAAAAATGAGAATGCCACTGTAGAAACTATAAATTCTTCGAGTGTTCCGTGTTGAGGATTACCCTAGAATATAGTGTTACGGATTTTCAATATTGAAATCAATTGAAATTTTCGTTCACACCCTTTTCTGCAATTAATTTATGGATTATACAATTAATTTGTGGACGTAATTTTTTTTTTACCCTGAAACAGGTACACAGTAAATAATCAAAGTAGAAATCGTGTAGAAAGTGCTTTATTTCGACAATTTTTTTCACAAATATTCAATACAATTTTAATATCGTGATAAATATTTTAAAAGGTAAGGCCCATACTTCAACAATTTCTTACTCGAAATTTCTGCTTATCTGTCACTCAGTTAAAAAATTATAATTTTCATCTCCTGCATTACCTTTTAATTTTTTTTTCTCCATTTTTAATCCTAAAATACATTAATATCGGTACTTATTCTGGTTTATAAATGTAAAATAGTTTGAAAACACTCAATTGGTATTTTTTTTTGCTCTTTCTCTCGCTGATTTTGGTGACTAGATACTGAATGATTTGACACCACTGATGAATGGAGCTACAGCGAGAATAATTGCAAATAATTGGAATAGCCGTGAACCGGTGATTGAAGTACCTGAGTTACAGGCATCGGTACTGCATATGTTGCAGGACACAACTGTTCTGTAACCCTGTTCTGTTGTTATTTGATGAGCACAAGGTCCATCCTTGATTTCTCGTTCGTCTTGACGAGGATTATCGCATTGACGTACGGTAGTTGTTCTACCACCCTCTGTACAAATAAAAATACAAATTTGGATGATTCATTACTAAATTTTAATTGTTGAATATTCGCAGATTTTGTTGAAATTTTTTCAATAATGATTGTCAACACTATTTCATTCAATTTGTCTTCCCTATTATTGAGTAAATCAATAAATAATGAATAAAATTTTATAGCAGCTGTGCTACAGATTACAAACAAATTTAATGAATTATAAATATTATGCATTTTAGAGTAAATAAAAAATGAGGAGAGGTGCTCGTCGTGGGTGTGTTCGGCTCCGTGGTCCTGTAATTGGTATTGATGATGAGTTGATATGCTATTCAACAATGTTTATAATCGTTTTCTATTGCTGAATTTTGAAAAATTCTTTATTAAATCAACTAATTTTTATTTCCTTCACGTGACCTGCTTTATCGATTACAGTTTCCGTGGCTCTACCCTAGTGATCACTTTTACTGGTAGTTATGGCCGGTAATACCCGCAAAATTCTGTTTTACCAATAGAAAAACTTATTCAGTCATAGGTAATCATTTTCGGCTGTCTACCATTTCAAACACAGGGACAAATGCAAGGTTGCCATTTCGCCCCCTACCATATTGTAGCATATACATTTTAAACAAGTATATTGAAGAAAGTTTGCACTATGCTATTTATGAAAAATTCTAAGAGTAGGTTATCTTATCCATTGCAAATTCAAGCTAATGGATTAATTCGAATATTGCTATTTCAATTGTTTGTCCGACTCGGCGTGTGGAACTCGGGAAATCTGGTCTCAAGCCGTCGTGACCTCAACCCCACCCTTCTTATAAAAATTGAAGATGTCTTTTTTACCATGCGTGTCGAGATCGCCCCTCCTTCTCCTAAGTTATTGAGTATTTCTATTCTCATGTGTTGTTGATGCAGGCAACAATGACTGAATCAAACCAAAAATTATTCGTTAATTAATTTTTTTTATTAAATAAGGAAATTTTTTTGCTTCCGAATGGAAGTTTTATAATCGTCCATTTTTTCGATCCTCAAATTTTGCATGGAAATGATGTAGATTTCTAGCTAGCAATAGTTGCTGATGCGCTCAAATGTATCGGTGAATTTAAATTTTTTAGTCCCGTAAAATTGTCGACAATTTGACGACATGAGGATGGCATATATAGATGATAACTCATCGAGTTATTCGTGGAACTACCTTCAAATTTGCGGATAAAAATCGTAGCAAGTATGCAGATATCGTTCTCAGCAAAGTTGCAGATAGAATTACCTCCAAATTTGCGGAAAAAATTTCAATAAATACGGAGATATAGATATCAGCAAAGTTGGTGATAGAATTACTTCCCAATTTGCCGAAAAGTTTGCAGTAAATATGCAGGTATACATGTTAGCAAAATTGATAACGAATTCAAAATAAAATAACGAATATATTTATCTTAAAATTATAAATCAAACCTATGGCAAATGAACGGAGAAAATTCGGAACAAACATTCCAACATGTTATTCGAAAAGGACTCCATTCACTTTTTTTCTCGTTTGAAAATGGTAAACGATAGGTATATGAAAATGAATTAATTATGTTACGTATCATTTTTTGTAGACAAGAAAAACGCCAACCATATTCTATTGCAACTTTCTTTATTGCGTCTGCATGTTTTGATGATTCATCCTTGAGAAATGGGTATTGATTTCACCTCAATACGTTTCAAATCATCCCTAAGTATTCATTGTGAATTATCCAATATGTATGACCTGTAGCGTATTTCGAATCTATAACTAATGAATTATAACTTTACATCAGGTTTTAAAATTCAGTATGTATAACATATCAGTTCTGGTCACAAGGGTCAAAATTTAAGGGTCATAAGGGTGCAAATGCAAGGGGCTGAATGTAAGGGTCGAAAGCTAAGGTTCAGTATTTATGAGTCACAAGGGTACAAGAGTCAAAATACAAAGGTCTGAATATGAGGGTCAAAATCTAAGGTTCGGGATGTAAAAACACAAGGGTTAAAATCGAAGTCATAAGGGTCAAAATACAATGGTCTGAATGTAAGAGTCAAAATCTGAGGGTCATATGGGTCAAAATACACGGGTCAAAATCTAAAGTTCAGAATTTAAGGGTCTGAATTGAAAGGTCAAAATCTAACGGTCCAAATGTAAAGATCGAAATCTAAGGGTCACAAGCGTCAAATTCTAAGGGTTTGAATATAAGGATCAAAATATAGGGGTCAAAATATAAGTCAAAATTTAAAGATAAAAATCTAAGGGACAGAATTTAAGGGTCACAAGGGTCCAAATTTAGGAGGCAAAATCTAAGGGTCAAAATCTAAAAGCCAAAATTCTTTTCTCGAAATTTTTACGAAGGCATCCACTGATCCCAGGGTTCGAAGAATGTCATATTCCTCTACTCTTAGTTGACAATATTTGACCTTCCCCGAAATGCGAGTAACATTTGGGAGAAAAAGAATATTTTCCTGCAGAAAATTAGCACATAATTAGTATTTCACTGTAGTGTATTAATTTTTCACAATTGACCACATTTGTCTACTAGATAAACTTCACAAACTCAAAAATCAAATTTTTTTCCAAAATATTGAAGCAGAAAATTTTCAGTTGGATTCAAAATCAAGTACATGTTTCCCCGATTGTATCTACCAATCCTAGAGTCCGAGGAATTCGACCCACCCCTACCCTCATCTGAACATATTCGATGTTCAGGGAAATTTGAGGAAAATTCTGGAAAAATCAAATTATTTTCCTGCGAAAAATTTGCACATTTAGTTCTTTACTATTGTGCACTAATTAGCCCCATTCGACTTCATTGATCTGCTAGGGAAACGTCCCAAACTCAAAAATGGATTTTTTGGTCAAAATATTCAAGCAGAAATTTTTTTTCTGCAGAAAAAAACATAAAAAGTCCGTATTTTTTAGCTGATCACCGACCCGGTCCGATGACCCTAGTCTGCCAATTTTACGGAACTAGAATTCTCTTCCTCGATTTTAACCAAAAATCTACAGAAAGTTGCTAATGTTGTTTTGTGTCTCAAAGAAAACAGAAAATTTATATGTGAATGAATATTGATTGATTATACTAGCATAATATGTAAAATATCTACTAGAAATACGAAGCACTTCTCCTAGATTCTCTAACGAGGCGCAGCAAATGATTTAGGTATACCTGGATTTCTTCTAAAAAACGCCAAAATTTGTCACCTTTCTTTCAACATATGGCGCAGCCAAAAAATAAAAGATATCCTCACGTTATTCTGGAGGCACTTTCACGCGAACTTATTCCGCTAGACGCTTTCTTATAATTTTAATCTAATTGTCATCTTTTTCTCATTCTAATTAAAACTCCTGATAATGAAACATTTTGACGTAAGAGCTGAGAAAGGACAGGATGAACGAATGTGAGGTTTCCAAAAAAAAAAACAAAATAAGTCGACGATTCAGTAAATCAGTCGATTGGGAGAAAGGAAGGGATCCGTGAAAATTTGAAGAAAATAAGGTTTTTATTCATAGGAGAGATTTTCTTCCACAATTAAATAGCGCTTTTGTTGACATGTTTTTTTCTCTAACTTATCCGGATGTGTTTCTTTGAAACGACTGTTTTTGTTTTCAATTTCGACGTGTTTCTTGGGAATTGAAATTTCGATAAAACAATTGAACCCTATCAGGTCGGGGGGGTGAGGGGTTGGAGGTTATTTCAATCCCCAAGAAACACGTCAAAATCCAAAATAAAAAAATTCGTTTCGAAGAAACATCCAGATAAGTTGGGGAAAAATCGCGCTAAGAGAAGCGCTAAAAGGTGGATGGGCTTCACGATCAAGCAAATGTGTTATCTTATTCAGATTATAACTATGTGCTTCAGCACAAAAATGTTGTTATTACAGTAATATCAGTAGTTTTTATTTTTTTGCGTTCAACTTCAAGGATGGAATTGTTATTTGTGGAATGAATTATAGGTTTACTATAGATAATTCAAATTTCATGGGCTTGTGACGCGAATTACTTTCTCCATGCTGTGGATCAAAGTGGATCTGAAGGTCTTGAGTACAATTGGACGATTTGTTACGCTCTATATGTGGTTTATATAAAAGAATCATTTTAGCTGAGCGGGGATTAGTAGATCATTGATGATAAACATGAAAATATCGGTAAACTATCAATCCACAATTATAGTCAGACTAAAATTTCTTTTCCCTTTGAAAAATTATATTTCAATGGTTTTCATTGAGAAATCAACATTTTGACAATGGAAGCCATGGAAACTTGTAGCCTGAAATTAGTTTTCTGAAGGAAAAGAAGATTTAGTTAGACTATGACTTTTTTTGACTATGATCTTTTTTTGCTTTCGGATGGAAGCATCCTAATCGTTCAAATTTAAGTTTGAAATTCTTTGTGTTATATAGACCAATTGTGATCCAAAACGTCCGAAAATGCAATTTTTAGACCGCGTCCGTACGTATGTGTGTGGTAAAGTTTTTCTTCAATTGTTCGCTAATGAATGGATGGAATTATTGAGCCCTATCGATCGCTATTAATTAAAATTTAATTCGTCGATTAGATTTTTTAATTTTTCAATTTTTGCGAAAATTGATTGTCTCTCGATAACTAAAAAAATGTTCTGAATTGATTGAATGATGGTTTAAAAAAATGGTTTGGATGTCCTTTTGACCGAGTTCGATGATGAAGGCGATAGCAATAATCAATGTTTTGATTTATTCGAAATTTTTAAAAAATTTTGTATTTTTTGAAAATCAGAATGTCGGTAATATTTTTGAATATCATCCTTCAAATGAATTTAATCATAGCTTAAAATGTTTGTTTCAATGCCACTAAGTCGAAGTTAAAAGATGATTGCGATAGCTATATTAGTTGATTTGATTTTTATGATTTTTGAAAATTTCGAATTTTTCATGAATTTTCCCAAAGTGAGGTTTCTGACGGTTTTTTCAAATGTGATGTTTCAAATTCATTCAAGTATGTGTAAATGAAATTTTTGTATTAGCACTTTATCGAAGGGCTGAGGGGAGAGATAGAACGGTTAAAAAAAAACAATCGGTTGTATATAAAAAAGGGTTAATAAGAATAATGATGCTGATACCATTCAACTAAGTTGAAAATATGATAACATAAAAGGAGATCTTATGTGATTTAATAAAATGATATAAACAATGAATTATAATGATAGAAGCAAATGATGTGCAAAATAACTCTTCGGAAGCATATTGCTAATTTATTAGCACAAATAACTATACTATATACAATATATACAATATAAGAGTAATTTCCCACTTGTTTTCTGATGAAAAAAGACTTGAAACAGGTGGAAGATAGATGATAATATTTCGTTTCTAGCTGGCGGTGATTTTTATTCTACTGTTGAGCATTTTCTCTTATGTCTCGGCCAAGAAAGTTCAGGATAATCGACGAACTAGCATTGAAGATGGTAATTATAATTTCTAAGTATCACTGGTTTTCAACTTATGGGGGACAATAATTACGAAATTGTGATTCGTTTTGACAGGAATATCACGAGTGAAAATCAAAGTTTTCAGAGGAGAAATGAAGGAAATAGATGGGGAACAATTTACACCATGGGGATATTGGATTTCCCAACCAAACGGCAGGCGCAATTGAAATGAAGTGTACGCCTTCGATAAATGTGTATATTATAAAGAATACTTGACACCAACCGAAAAACATTTTAGTTTAAAGAGATTTTATTTACAAAAAAGAGTATTGCTACAATAAGAGATTATGCCAGTCCCATTATTTCATTCACTGATGAATCAAATGCTCTGTAAAAATCATATGCTGATTAAGAAATGTCTCGTTGAAATTAGCTGAATAAAAATGAAATACTTAAATTCTCACCTTGATTTGATTTGATTTCCTGCAATGTCAAAAGGATTGCAAACTGCATTGGAATATGTAACGTGAAGCTTCCTGAAAATCTTTTTAAACAAACTAATGTATAACAATTAACAATTAACAGTGTAACAGTTAACTCTACGGTAAAATCTCGATAGAAATGTTGCGGGGTAGAAAAGTTCCTATAAAATCAGTCTCCGGAACTACTTTTCATAGAATCTCTCATTATTCGACAATTGACCTAATGTGTATCTATTAAGGAACGGTTAACCCCGTATGAACAATTTTTTCACTCTTCAAGAAAAAATGTTTAAAAGTGCCGTTATCTGTATGATTTTGTTCTCAAGAATTTGACTTTTTAGGTGAAAATTATCTTCGATCGCTCAAAATCAGAGTTTTCCCTTTTTTTGTAACCGAAAATTCAACTTTAAGAAAATCCCTAATGTTTGTTTAACTTAAATTTATAGATCGAAATCTGAAATAAATTTTAAACCGAAGTTGATATGGATAAAAACATTTTGGTTGAGTTCGTATTCAATTGGCAGTCTAGTATTATTGATAATAATTAATTCAGAAGTGGCAAAATAACACAGCGTCTTATGAGAACATGCCTTCCTCAAAGATTAGAGAGGCGATTAAAATATAGAAACAGTCAGAAAAAAATAATTGAAAGTTTTATCCTTAAGGCCCGGGTGTACTATCTTTCGAACGTTATCTCGATGTTTTTTTTCATTTATCGTCATCTGAAATTGTCAATTAAGTGCTGCATCATGCAGAAGTGTTGAAAAATTATGAATGAATAATCAAGAAAAAGGAGAAAAAAATCTTAATTTTTTAAAAGAGCATTTTTAATTTATATTCAGAATAAGTTGAATAACAAGAAACTGAAAAATGTATCTGATTTACAGTGACAAATGGCGGCGCCTGTCACCCAATATCATGCAGGGGGAAGACTGATTTCGTAAATCTTTTCCCACACTGCACAGAGACATTTATTACGGAAAAGGCTCTTTGAAAAAAGTTGTAATATTTTGGAGAATTTTTTAATCACACTTTTATCACATAAAAATGGCAGATGACTACATACCACTGTTTTGAAAATTGAGATACCTAGCTGTCACTTCCCATGAGGAGTTGGTGTTTTCTTATCCACCAGGGAAAATGATAGCTAACAGATAATTTGCCACAGCGAATCAGATATTTGTAATTTTCACTTTTTTCAACTCATTCTGAATCTCAATTAAAAAGGCTCTTTGAAAAAGTTCAGAAGTTTTTCTACTTTTTAAAAAATAATTCTATCATCATTTTCGGGAATTCCTACATGATGTACCACTCAATTGACAATTTTGGATTCCGAAAGATGAAAAAAAATCCAGATAACATTCAAAAGATAGTACACCCGGGTCTTAATACGAAAATTATCGCCAGTGCCATACTTTCGTGATAAATAATTTATCACAAAAAACCAAACTGTAGATGTAGGATCATACCCCACTTGAGTTCCAGTTCGTGTGCCTCCGAATTTTTTAATTTGTGCATTGATAATAGACCTTTTCATTCTGGAAATCTAGGGGAAATATTTATTTCGTTCATTCAACGAAAAAATCTCCGAAAAAACCATGGAAAATTCTGATAAATATTGAACTTTACAATGATATACACTTGAGCGCTCAAAAACCATGATTTATATGTAAATTCGATAAAGTGTCCGCAAATCCTAGGGGAATTAACATGGGAAAAAAGTGTCCGCAAATCTAGTGACTCTCAGAATGAAAAGGTCTATTACTTAAGGATAATCGGGCGAGGAGGAAATGTAGGAGGTGAGGCGGAGGAGTTTCTATCGTTTTCCTGCAGAAAACCAATCGCTGAACAAAAAAATTTCCCATTTGGATTCAAAATTCAGGCAATATTAGGGAGTATCTCCGGTTAAAAATTATTTTTCGAGCTAATCAAATTTATTTGTATCTGTTCCACGCATTGAATGGTTTTCAGATTGTTTTTTTTTAATAAATGAAAAAATATTAATCCATGCGAAAAAGTGGCAACATCGTCGGTTTTTTTTTAATAAATGAAAAAATATTAATCCATGCGAAAAAGTGGCAACATCGTCGGTAGTGTTTTTTTTTTCACCAGGAGCTGGTATCACTGGTTCGAGGGAACTCCAATCACAACGCTTCATCGCTCTCTCTCAAGGGACGTTTAAATTGACCGCGCTACCCCCACCCGAACGGTACTTGCGACGTTGCTGCTCGTTTGGGCTGCGTGCGCAGAAATTTCATTTTTCAGTACTTTTTTCGCTATTATTAACAAACAATGCTCCTAGGTGACAATCTTTTTCACTCAAAAAATCATTGATGACATGTTCTAAATGTGTCTAAAGTTTCATGACTTTGGCTGCTTTTTCTCCTTGGGTTTTGCAGTTTTTTTTTGTGATTTCCATAAGATCACGGGTTCAATGATCACTTTTTCAAAAATTCATAATAAATTAACCATGTTCCCCAGCAGTCTGAAACTTTGCGGACGCCTTTTTCATCATTTAAAGAATACGTAAAAAATAAAAGAGAAAAATGGCTGCTTTTTTTCTAACCCTCCGGGCTCGCCCGATTATCCTCAATTGTTTCCCTCGTATAGAGGTTCGGAAAGCTGAAAGATAGGCATATAGCATCCTGCTTTCCATGTAATTTATGCCTTAAGGGGTAACGGAACCGACCACAAAAAGACGTTTACCAAAAACAAGTTTTCTTGGATTCTATGCAATGAGAATCAATGAAACTTTTTCCGCGTATTGAGAGTAGCGAAACGCATCGCTCTCTTCTCATGCTTTTATTTATGAAAAAAAAATTGCAAAGTATTTAACGGCAAGGACCAGGGCAAGGCCGACGCCATTTTATTTGTAGGAATCTGCCAAGTTATGGCAGACAAACCGATTTTTTTGTAGATTTTTCTTAGCCGATGGCTATTTTCATGAGAAGAGAGCGATCGAGTGAGGTCCAAGACAGAGATTTTGAGTACAAAAATGTACTTTTGTTGCGTAATTTTCGTAAAAACTTGTTTATGATGATTGGGTGGTATCCAGGAGGTAACATGTCCTTTATAGGGCACCAATTGTATCAGAAGATAATGTAGAATGTTTTCATACCATTATTATTTATTTATATCCATTTATTTATATTTTATGGGCTTTTGTACTTTTCACGTACGAAATCCAAAAAACCACGGGAACCTGCAATACCGATAGGGGGGAACCCCTAACCACTACGTGTGAAGTAACCCTTGTATATTCCAATCAATCGCAATCCATTACTTGTGATATACAAATCTTGTATACAGAGTGCAAAAAGCGTAATTTTTGAATTACACTTCTGTAGCTGGGCGGAATTGCTTGGACATCCTTAAGGAGCGAAAATTGATGATTGTATTAAAAAAAAACTATTTAAAAAATGTAAATGTTGGACATTGTTTTAAAGCCCGGGTAGATTATCGTTCGAGCTGTATCTCACTTGTTTTTCCATCTTCTAGTACATTAGAGTACAAGGGCACAAATTTCGTTTTCGACGAATGTGAAGTTTACAGGCCGAGTTGAAGGCGAGTTCTGTATTCACATTCGTTGAAAACGAAGTTTATGCCCCGAGTGGTCTATACTATTTTATCGTGCAAAAGTCGAGTTTGAAGCACGCTGCGCGAAGCGTAGCGTATAAATACAAAGAAATGAAAAAGAAAGCCAAGTCAGCAATGTCGAATGAACGAACATAGTGCACAATCAGATTTCTATGAGAAAAATAGTTTCAAATCGAATAAGGATTTATAAAAATACTTCATGAAATAAAAAATTACTAGAAGGAGAACCAACGTTCTTGGCACCCGGGCGTTAAGTTGAATTTTTGGTTACAAAAAATTCAACATTTTCCCTCAAAAAATGCAGAAGATTTTTCCTCGGGATGAATCTTCCCTTAAATTAAATAATTGCTCACATATAATTCTTGAACATTCCATCAAACAGGTAAAATAATATTTAATTACCATTCTCACATCATTATCTCGGAAAGACGCATTTGAGGACTGCAAGATCACCACAAATTTCACTTTTGTATTCGTAGCATAGCCAAATCTGAAACGAAGAATTCACTTCGATGAAACCTAATTTCCCTTCATTTTTTTTCTTGATAATCAACAGTTGAAAGTGGTAGGTACATTTTGTGTTCCTCTGTAGAGTAAAGAAGTCCCAGGAATAATTCACGGCTGTCAGTTGCTGCCTTGTTGCCCATATTTAATTTTTCTTCGATTATATCGATCGATGTGTGAATTTTATAGTGAAACTGCAGGGCCATGTCTTCAGAGGCACATTTTATGTACTTCGGGGAATTCTAATAAGGACATTTACTTCTGTGATTAGTTATTTTCAACTCCATAGTCGATGAATGGATAAATAAATAAAAACAAGAAAATTGATGACTACTATTAAAAAACTTTTTTCATTGCTTAGAATCCTCAATTTTGTTATTGTTTGAGCGAATTCTTAATCGGATTTCTATGGAATTTCTATTGGAAAATTCTATTCGTTTTTTCCGCTGATTCTATTGCATATTTCATAAGGGAAAGTCAAAAGATTTTGAATTTCTTTCTTGAGAATCCCAATAGAATTTTCCAGCTAATTCGCTAGGTTTTCCTATTGGATTTTTCCATACGTGTCAGCATTGCGCTACTAACCTGAATCGGAAATAATGGGTCAACGGCAATAACGTCATTATTTCCAATTACCCTTTTTTCTTCCAATAGGATTTAAGGAGTTTTTTTCCACCAGGCTAGTAATTGTATAGCTTTGACGATGGTCGGTTCGTGCACGAAGGAGAATTCAGCAACGTCGAAAATAGGGCGCTAAATTTAGCAAAAGAGCAATATAATTTTCAAGAAATGTTAGGTGAAAACTTACTTCTTTGCCAATTACTGCAATGCAAACAGCCATTTTCAGGGAAAATATCTCACTGAATTGTTAAACAAGAACATCAGTGACAATATAGCGACAGGTACAGAGCGAGGAGGAGTGGGGGGGGGTCAATTAAAAAAATATGGCAGTGGATAAGGCAAAGAGGATAGACTAAAGCAGAGGCTCAGATCCGGGGGTTTGGCCGACCCCAGCGTGAGGCTTGTACGACTCCATGGCAGAGAGGGCGCCGCGGTCGATTTCGGTGTCTGGCCGAGTTCGCTAATTCGGTAACTGTGATGTCCCGACATTGACTCTAGAGATGGCGCTATAGATCGTTTGATTAAGTCCGCGAAATTCCAATCAGGTTTGAATAATTCAAATTATTAGACGTAATCCGGAGTTGAGAATTGAGGGAGAATAGTACAATGAACAAGGGAAAGCAATAACTTTTAAGCGAGAATAAACTGTTGATGGAATTTTAGACTCGAGTGTTTGGGTCTGCGATTTGTTAGAATATTTTATAGCTCTCCAAATTCTCGTGGAGTAAACACTTTTTCTAGGTGTCAAATTTAGGGTCGAATTTATTGGACAGTTACGGTCCTCACTCGTCACGATCTCGAGTTCTGTTTGTATCAACAGTTTTACGGCCTCACGTGCGCAACACGTGTGGTGCCTTTTGTTCATTGTGTTCCCCTGGTTGAGGGCCTAGAGTCCCTCCAAGAGGAAAACCTGCGACGCAAAATACTCCCCTTTTCTCCTTTTCCGCTTCTCCGTTTTCTCTTTTCCCTTTCCTCAGGGCCTAGTTTGCGTGCACAACTCTTAGATTAGTAGGGGTTGTTGGACCCAACCCTTGGAAGTTTTAGTTTAGGATAGTTCAGTTCCTACACAAGCCTTCTGCTTGCTGCTTCTCTCTTCAATTTGTTAAGTCCACAAGTGTTTTATTGAGTTTATTCTTTGATCGTTTAAAGTCTTGACTTTATTAAAATAAAGTGTGTTCAGTGCTCCCTAAATCATCAGTGTCCACGTTATTTCGTCTATCAACCTGCTCCACATAAATAATCCTGTCAACTATTAAATTGAATCTCGATGGAGTGCTCATCAGAGCTTTGGCGGCCAACGTTCCCGCACTCAAACCTGGCGCTTAATTTTTGAATTGGCGCTAGTGTCCCACTAGTTACATCGTTGAAACGATTGGGACGTAACATATGTGTGATGTCTTGACGTTGAAATTTATAGTTGGCGCTATTAATCGGCCATAATAGTCCGCGAGATTCAAATTATTGTTGGAAAATAATTTAAATAGTTCAGGAAATTAAAAATATACCAGAAATAGAAGAATAAAGAAAGTCTGGAATACAATGGACAAAGAGAACGAAAAACAGCATCGCAAGCGTGAGAAAAACCGTTACGGAAATAGTAAATGTCAAATACTTGAGTTTTGCTCTTATAATTTACAACCCTCCAAATTCTCGTTGAGTAAACACTTTCCTCGAAAATCCAAATTTAGAGAAGAAAATAAATTTAACGGTTACGGTCCCATGTCGTAAAATCTCAGTTCTGGTTATTTCGAAAGGTTCTCTGTTTCACGTGACTAACACGTGTGGGCTCTCCATTGTTCATTGTTTCGCTAGGCTGAGGGCCTGAGACCCTTCGCGACGAAGTTTCACGACGTCACACGCTCCC